GTGATAGTTATTCATGTTAGATAGAATGGATGAATAGGGTAAGAATTTAATTTCTGGAAATTTCATTATATAGTATGATTTTGGTCATTGAATGCAGCCAGTGTTTCTCTGTTTTGGGTAATAAGAGAGAATAACATTTGTACACACAAATACAAAGGGGAGATATATTTGGATATATTTGGCTACCATTTGGATACTCTCACTCTATAAAAAACACTTGGGGAAAATGTTATTTTTGCTCAATAGCTTTGTACAGAAACTGTACTACATCCACAACTGAGGGTTAAGAATATTTAAAGCCAGGCTCAGTGGCATGCACCAGTAGTCTCAGCAACAAGCGGAGGATTGCTTGAGCCTAGGAGTTTGAGACCAGTCTGGGCAACACAGCAAGACCCCATCTCAAAAATTTTATTTTTTTTTGTGAGATGGAGTCTTGCTTTGTCACCCTGGGTAGAATGCAGTGGCGTCATCATGGCTCACTGCAACCTCAAACTCCTGGGCTCAGACAATCCTCTGGCCTCAGCCTCCAGAGTGGCTGAGACTATAGGCATGCACCATGATGCCTGGCTAATTTTTCTGTTTTAAGTAGAGAGGGGCTCTTGCTCTTGCTCAGGCTGGTCTTGAACTCCTGAGCTCAAGCAATCCACTCACCTCAACCTCTCAGAGTGCTAGGATTACAGGCATGAGCCACTGTGCCTGGCCAGAATATTTAAAATATAAGTTTTGAACGTTATATAGTTCCCTCTTCAGAAAGATGTTTAAGACCACTGTTCTTGAAAATCACATAATTATTTCTACTGATATTTCATGGGAGAGGAGCCACATAATTATGCAAGATTTCTGCAATGTTAGCTATATTATTCTAGAATGAATTCTTGGTATCACAGGATGATCTTGAGTGTTTAATAGATGGAAGTTTGCTTACCGCTTGGGCAAGGCTTCTAATGATGCCAAAACAAGCTGTTTCTCTAAAGCTTCGTGTAATCCCACTCGTTCTCTCACAGTCTGGGAGAGGCGTGGTTGGCATTTGGGTTTTGACAAACTAGAGCAGCATGTTCCACTCACCCAAGGGGGTCGAACTTTGAATAACTCCTCTGAAAAACAAACAGCAGCAGGCTGGGCTGACTAGTTCATGTTTCTCCCAGCCAAGTCTACATAGATAAAGGCATCAAAAGTAAACTGTACCAGGGCAATATTCCAAATGACAATAATAATAGCCATTTTCACACACTTTGTTTGGATTTCTTATCCTCTCGGTACTGGGGCTGAGAGTTACCAGTCATTTTGGGTCAAGAAACAAAGCTCGGAGAACAAGCAACTCTTTTCTTGTGGAGACCAGCTAATCAATTTATGGGCTTCACATTCATTTACGCCCTCCCACTTGGCTTCAAGTAATTTCCTATTTGTTATGATCTCTCCAGAGGGTGAGTCAGGGGGAAAAAAAGATGGGAGAACTCAAATCAGTTTTATTGCTTTCTTTTACACACTGTGTAAATCAGAAAGCTTAACTGAAAGCATGTTCTGTCTCTCCTCCCGTTCTTCTCTCTTTCTTAAACGCCATTATTCCTGCTTCTGTTCTCATTTTCATTTCTCGTCCTTTTTCACCAGTCCCAACTCTTCTGTTCTGAACATATTTATTGGCTTTTGCCTATGTTGGTACTTCTTTGTCCTCCTTGTTTTCGGTCTTATAAACCAAGGAACTAGGGCGGCAATGGAGGCACTAATATTTAACCTTATGTATGTCATCTGAAATCTTTTTGTTTTTCTCATTAATTAACTTGAAATACATAATAAAAAAAGAGGTCATCTTGAACATACTTTAAAGCAGCGGTCCCCAACCTTTTTGGCAGCAGGGAATGGTTTCAAGGAAGACAATTTTTCCATGGACCGGTGCAGGGTGGGATGGTTTGGGGATGATTCAAGCACATTACATTTATTGTGTACTTTATTTCTATTATTATTACATTGTGATATATAATGAAATAATTATTAATGTACAACTCACCATAATGCAGAATCTAATGCTGCCACTGATCTGACAGGAGGTGAAGCTCAGGCGGTGATGCAAGCGATGGGGATAGGCTATAAATACAGAGGAAGCTTCCTTCCTTGCCTGCTGTTCACCTCCTGCTGTGCCGGCCAGTTCCTAACAGGCCACAGACTAATACCCGTCCATGGCCCAGGGGTTGGGGACCACAGCTTTAAAGAGTGCCACCCACACACTATTCCAGAAAGACAAGGCTATCATCTTCTGTGGGCATTTGCATATAAATCCATTTGTTTCTACAATACTTAGATATATTAAT